GCTTTGATTGTGGGTTCCTGTATGGCAGGGGGGTTGGACTGGATGGCCAACTCTATGATTCTATGATTCTAAGTCATTTCTGACTTATGGCGACCCTATCATAGGGGGTTTCTTGGCAAGATTTGTTCAGAGTAGGTTTCCCATTGCCTTCTTCTGAGGCTGAGAGAGTGTAACTTGCCCAAGGTCACCCAGTGAGTTTTATGGCTGAGCAGGGAATCAAACCCTGGTCTCCAGCTGTAGTCCAACATTATTCAGAACTTTTATAAGTTTTTAAGTTTTCACCCAAGAAACTTAGGGCTCTATGTGCACTGAGAGAGGATGAATTTTCGGATTAATTCAGCTCCTGTTTGTTTTTGCATTCCTGCCTTTCCACTTCGACATGGATGACAACTGAGAAAAATGTGTCTGGTTGTAATTTGGTCACCTTGGGGGAACAGTTGAGAGATCTGAAAATCTCTTTTTGGTTCTGAGTTCTTAGAGCTGTTAAAGATTTCTCCCTAATGTAAAATGTTTTAAAGAACAATGAAAAACTAAAGATGGATTCAGATATATCTCCTCCTTCTCTTCCTTCTTCTAGGAGTGATGACAGACTAGCACACCTTTTCTCATGCCTCTTGGCTTGGTCAACAACTGTATCTCCTCCCCTTCCCACTTTATAAAAACAAACCACAGGGCAAAAAAGAGGCACAACACAAAATAGAGTTGGGCAACATTCATGGATTGCAAGTCCCAGCAGCCCCAGCCATCATAGCCAAAGGTAAAGCATGCTGGGAGTTGTAGTTCAACTCCCTTTGGAGGGCCGTTTCTAGTTTGGCATGCTTGCATGGGGAAAAAACCCATGGTGGGATTTTGAATCCTGGTCTCTAGCGCTGTACTCCACCCAATCCTAAAAAGGTTGATTCAAAGCCCAGAGGCATATTTTAAGTAAACCAGCTTTGTCTTCCTCTGAGGCTGAGAGAGTGTAACTTGCCTACGGTCAGCCAAGATTCGAACCCTCTGGTCTCCAGAGTTCGAAAAAATAGGATTTTGAATTAAAACTCCCACAGTCAGTCTATTAAAAAAACAACAACACTATTTATGTCACTAAAAATCTAACATCATTCCCAATACAGGGACTTCCAAATGCAGTGAACTACAGGTCACTTCATCCTCAGAGTAATGAGGAGCTATTGGAGGTTAATGCTCATCGAAATCAATTTGGGATTCCCCAGGGTAGAAGGAATTTTCAAGGAGATTCAGCATATAAATCCCAAATCTGGGATCTCACATGAAAGTTACTGGTGCCATCTAGGGGCTGACATAAATAACATCCTTTGCGTAAATGCTCCTTCTCCTGGCATTTCAAGAATGTCAGTTCCTACAATGTGAGAAAAGGAGTCACTTTAATTCCTTGCTTTTTTGCAAGAAGGGAAATAAGATGTCCTGTCCACTTGGAGGGATGAGATAATAAAACAAATTTTTTTACATTGCTAGTGTGAATAGCTTTATTCATTTGTTTATTGAGAGCCAACGTGGCAGAGTGGTTTGAGTGCTGAACTCGGACTCCGAGAGACCAGGGTTCAGATCCCTTCTTGGCCATGGAGACCTATTGGGTGACTTAGGATGTCACAATCTCTCAGCCGCAGAGCAAGGCAATCACAAAAGCCCTCTGAATCGGCTGACCATATTTCCTTGAGACAAAATCGGGGACATTGGGATGGCAAAACCAGGATGGGGTTATGTAATATTCCAAATCCATGAAAAAGTAAGAAGATAACAAGTTTTATTACATGAACATATTGAGCTAACAATTATTCTTCAGTGACAGAATTCATAAAAAAATTTAGGTAGACACAGAGGGGGACTGTTTTTCACTATGATCATACCATGAATATTTCTTTGATGAAGTACTCTTACATAACAAATTTCAGTCATTCAGCTGAAGGGAAATAAAATTTCTCACTCTCCATGACACTTTTTTTTACAGCCACAATTTCAAGCAGGGATCTTCAAACCGTTTTTGCAACATAATGGCATTTTTCTTGAAAACAGAACAAAATTGACGTATTAAAACAACAGGGTGGTCTGGAAATATGAAAAAATGCTATCCCATTCAAAACAGTATATCTGGTCAGCCTACCTCTGAACAAATCTTGCTGAGAAAACCCCGTGATAGGGTTGCCTTGAGGGACACTATAATTTGGAAATGACTTGAAGGCATGCAAAAAGCAATTAACACACCGTTTGTTGTCTACAACCATCTCTCTTTTCCTGGATTGTGTCAGGTTTGCTGTGCAGGTTTGGAATTTGGACTCAGACAAGTGACTTTATTGCATGACACTTTTAGGAACGGGAACTGCTTGGGGACTCTTGGAAGCATCGGCGGCATTCTCCAGTGTGGTAACTTGGGTTCTTGCCCATTTCCGTTCTGTTCCGTTCAGTTCCCGTTCCTGAAAGTGCCATGTGATAAACTCAAAGATGTTTCCTCCATTCCATGTACAGAAGCCAGCTGGACTGGAGGTTGAATCTAATGTCAACAATAGCAAGGGAACACAATCCTCCACTAGACTTGAGGGCAGCCAACTAGTTTTGCAGGTGTGGGATAGGCCATATTGCACACATGTCTGTCCTCTAAAAGAGGATAACTGGCCAGGGAGCTGCCACTGTTGCCTTTTGGCATCCTGCTGTCTATGGTACTTACTTCATTCTGCCTAATGGAAGCAACCGTGGCAGCTGGTGGCTCCTGTGTCAGTGGGATAGTGAATCAGTTCTGGGTTTTACTCTCCAAGGTGATTTGCTGCAAGCGGAACAGCAGGAATCTTCTAAAACTGCTCCAGTTGTGTGTGACTACAAACCTCATCACAGAATTTTAATAGCTGGAAGGGGCCACAAGAGTCATCCATTCTGGCCCACTGACATGAAGGAATGCATGACTACAGCACTCCTGAAAGATGCCCAACCAACCTCTGCTTAAAGACCTCCAAAGATGGAGAATCCATCTTCATATGCTCTGAGGCAGTCTCTTCCACAGCTGAATAGCTCTTGCAATCGATAAGTTCTTCTTAATGGGAAAATTGATGAAGCCTATTCACTCTAATAGGTTCAGCACCTTGGAGCTCCTTTAGAGGATTTACTACCACATTAACAGGGAAGCTACTACTCACCTCTGGGTTAGGGCTGACCCTACCTCTGTGATGGGTATTTTGGGTCCACAGGAGATTTGGGTTTTCAAAAAATGCATTCCTTGCAACACACTAGCAGTTTCCCTTGCGGCACCAAGCATGTGAGTCTGTTGATTAACTGCCTTGCTTAACTGAAGAGACCTTGTAGCCCTAAGTGCTACATCATTTCTCCCTCAAACTGTCATCTTCTTGCCAGGAGACGATTAAAACAATTAAGCAATGTCTTGCAACAATTAAGCTCTATCAGATTAGCAAGATACGATCAGCTAAAATGGAGAGATTTTGAGATTTAGGTCATCATCTGTCAATATATATTACTACAATTCAGAGAGAAGCCACGACCTCAATTGCACAGACTCTGAAATAATGCATGCTGCTAAGGTTTTGCAATCTGCACAAATCAGGTAGTTTAGACTAAGCCAAAACAGCATCAGCTGAGAAAAAAATAATGATCACCAAGAAGTGAAACCAGAATTGGATCTGAATTTAGAGGCAATAGCCTGATCTTTATTGATCATCTACTCATCTTTAATACTATGACTTTCTAGGGAGACTAAAAATCTAAGTTTATGAGGTATTTATAAAATCCTGCTCTGTTATCACCTCCAGACAGTCTCCATTTATAAAACAAGGTCAGTCTCCTAGTTTTAATTTGGATGTCTGAGATGCTGGTTTATTTGGAAAGCCTCACATGAGCTAAATTATGACCACATACGCCACATGTGAATTTCTACTCCAAGTTGTATGTAGTAAATATCTGCTGTACATGAGAAGAGTAATTATGTTCTTCCTCATTAAAATTATCTAAATGTCACACAGTAATGGTGTGTGTGTGTGTTTAATGCAGTTAATCTTTCTATCCAAATTTGTTCTCTGGGCAGGAGGTCAAGAATTCATTGGATAACAAATGTGCACACTTGTCTAGGATGCTTTAATGGGGGGGGGGATACTCTCTTTTGGACTTTCAGCTTCAAACTTCTCCACAGACTTATTCCTAACTCCATCTCACAGGCCCCAGGTGATATCTGCATTCCTGATTCCTACTGTTTATACTTATCCAAAAATTCCTCAAGGAGGCAGCCATATTGAAACAAAAAGAAAAATTAGAGAAAAAATCACTGAGGAAAAAATGAAGTAGTTATCTCAGTCCAGTTGGATCTGTTTCTTGAGCCAGCAGGGCATTCATTTCCTTATATTCTAGTAAAAAATCTTTTGTTGGGTGTCTATATGGTACTTGTCCCCCATACAAGTTGAAATCCATATAATATGAGGTTTGTCTAGCTGCCTATGTTTCCCTCAGAATGCAGGTAAGAATTATAGTTTTGTTGGGCCTCTTGCCTTTCCTCAGCAAACTGCATCCAGGAGAGGTCAGTACAACCTTAGGCAGAATGAAATATCTGCTGCAGACAATAAATATCAGGTCCCACCCAATGGCATACTCTCCAAGCATCCTGATTTGGCCAGGACAGTCCTGATTAAACTGTCATCAGACTTTTTCAGGGACTGTTAGAGTGCCCCAGTTTCTCTCTCTTTTTTCCAGTTCCACTTTTGTTCTCCACTTACTGTATATACTCATGTATAAGTCTGGAAATTTTAGTCAAAAAATTGACCCCCCAAAACCCCTGTGTCAATGTATCCATGGGTCAATGTAAGTACTGTACTTAACTCTTATTTAAAAAGAAACCATCAAAAAAGGCAAAGCAAAAGTGTAATCTGTTCTGGAAGCACAGATCCCCTTTACTCTCTCATCCAGCCAGCCTTTAATTTTTGCTGGAATTTTGCAAGTTCTTTGGCATCATTTCCCTTTGCTTCATCCTTAGATCCTTTGTTACATGCCCCTAGGTTTTACCCTCGACTTATCAAAATCCACAATTTTGGCCCCAAAACCTGCTCTTGACTTATACATGAGGTTGACTTATGGTTGAGTATATATGGTATTTCATTTCCTACAAACTGAATTCAAAGTGCAAAAGCACTTTTGTACTCAAGTCAACAGTGTGGAAAGGAGAAAAGGATTGGAGTTTTGTCCTTCCCAGTAGACTCAGACAAAACCAAATTGCTTCAGCCTTTCCTTGCTTGTGTGTCCTTTCTCATTAACAACTTTTACCATCTTTACCACACTCTGATGTTGCATGGCTGCATGTGTCCCAGTTTTCATCTGTCACATGAATGGATAGAGTTGTTCTGTGCCATCTCAGCTACCCAAGTGCTCTCAGGTACAGTGGACTTGGAGGAGACTACTGTCACCAGTGTCCAAATCAGTTTCACTTGCCAGTTGTGAGGCTGTGGGGTGGATGGGGGGGATGTGTTGTTGTCTTGCTCCTTGCCTGAGCCAGCAAAATGTATTTCAGACCATGTTTTTCAGAGTCATCATAATGCCATCTGTTTTGTGGCTGTTAAACTGCTTTTAGAAGAATTAAAGTCTGTCTCAATCAACATTTTGGGCATACTTAAGATTGAAGAGTACACTCTATAGGCAGCATGTTCATCACCAAGGCCCTCACTATGGAAAGGGAAAGTCATGCCTCTTCTGCATTTTATGTACATAATAATTGCTGCATTCATAATGGTTTACACCAGATTTGCATAAATGTGCTCAATGCCAAGACGTTGCTAGTAGGCATATGGGAGTTCTTCTTGGATTGTGTAGTTTCCAGTGTGGTTGTATAACTGCCAGTTAATGAGATCTCTGTTGACCACTTATTTATTTTATTTTTTAAAAATGCTCATAAGTTTGCATATTATTTCAGGGGGAAAATAGCTTTAGAACATATTGTACCACATCCTGGGGATGCAGGGGATAGCTTGAATTGGTTCTGTTGAATTCTGGAACAAACTGAGGCTTTGTCACACACAACCGGCTTGCTTTTTGAGCCCTTTGGACTTTGGGCCATTGATTTGACCCCAGGACTAGCACTGCCTTTGTTTGTTGTAGTGCCATTTATTCACCCATGCTTTGTAGCTTTTTAAACAAATTGATTTTGACTAAATAGCCCTATCTTATTGAGGCATGCTTTATCTGTGATCTATCATTTTTTCCTTCAGGGTCAAAGAATGATAAGTCTTGGTGAACAAAATGGTGGAATGGACAGTTTTTGCTCGGGGGGGGCAGCAGTGGTGGCTTACAAATAGAAATGTGTCTACTTTGAGGACTGGAACGCTTGTTCAGTGTTCAGACACTGTCTTCTTTGTCTCTCTAAATTTCTGCAATTGGAAAGAATATTAGAGGGTAAGACCAGGGTTGGCGCCTATTTTGTACAGATATCTTGCCACCAGCCACAGTAATAAATAAAGAATAAATAAAGAGCAGAAATTGGAGCAGGGGGAAGACATCAACCATTTTCATTTGGCCTTTTCTTCCCAGTCTGTATTGTTGCACCCCATATATGCTGGTCCATGACTATAATATACGATTG